ATCCCCCCGCGCCCAGCAGGCACATCGCAGGAGCGGCATCTGCGCTCGACGCGCGCCCGCCGGGGCTCGCCAGCCGCGCGGGGCGGGGCCGGCTGGCGGAGGCGCTCGAGCTTCGCTCGCGGAGGCAAAGCCAGCAGTTTGAAACCTGCCCGCCTTCTCCGAGAAGGCGCAAGCACGGGAGCGCGCGCGCGCATCCGGGCCCGCCCCGCGCATCCTCCCCGCGTCTCCGGCAACGTCGTGTAGGGTGTAGGGGGCCACGCGCGAACCCCGCCCCTACCCCCCGCGATTTCTGGATTGGAGGGCGGGATTCACTTGGGTCGTGGACTATCGAGCACTCGAGAGCTTCAGGGCGCTCGGGCGCGGGCCCCGACGTCGGGGGGCCCCCCATCCTGGCGACGCCGTCAGCAAGGGCGCCCAGGCATGCCCTTCGCGCGCCTTCCGATGGCGGAGCTGCACCTGCCAGAGAGGCCTCGCCAGGTCGCGAGTGGCTCGCGCGAGTCTGGCCCCCGGGAGGTCCGGGCGCGGGAGGCGCGGCCCCCGCGCGGCGCGGCGGGCACACAACGACTCCGACACTAGCTCAAAAAAACAACTTGCGCGGGCCGCACCGGCACAATAACGAGCCCAAGTTGCGGCGGGGCACGCGGGGGCCGCGCTCGTCGCATGCCATGAGGGGGGGGCCCGCGTCGAGGCCGATGCGAGATAGCCCCTGCGAGCCCCTGTGAGTGTTCAACAAGGGCCGCCCTTAGCCACCGCGTCACAGCCCGCCCCGCTGGGATTTCAATTCTCCGCTGAACAGGGAGGGCCCGCGCGCGAACGAAGGGATGGAACGCCGCCTGGCGTCGCGGCGCGGGCGCGGCGAAAGCGCGCCGTGCGCCTCCCGGCCACGGCGCCTGGGGCCCGCCAGCTAGTCCGGCGAGAGAAGGGCGGCGCAGCTGATTGCAGGGCGGCGCGCAACGAACGCAAGGCAAATGAGAACGCCATGCTTGCCTGTCTACGGGCACGGCAGGAGAAATGAACTCAGGCGTCATCGCCCCGCACAGCGGGCAGCCTAGGAAACGCGCGCCCGAAGCAATCGGGGTCGGCCCGTCGCTCCCCAGGTGGGCTGCGCGACGTGGCGCGCAGGCCTGCGTCGGAGTCATGGCCCTGACCTGCTGGCACCTGTGGCCCATGAGAGGGCCCTCGCATTTGCAGCGATGTCGACGCTGCCCCCCTGGCCCAATCGGAGCGCGGTGCTCCAGCCGCGGCTTGCCAGGGCACCGATGGAGGCATCGCCATGGGCTTGCCCTGCACAAACGGCGGGACTGCACCCAGCTCGTTTTTGAGCAGAATGGGCGCACGCATCCCCGTGGCTGGCGGCAAGCTGACTGGGCCCGTTCCGCGGTCCAACCACGCCACTGACGGGGCTGCCAGCCCTGGGCGGGCATCTCCGCCAGGCCCCCGCATCTCGGCGGCGCCGTGGTGCTGCGAGGGCTCCGCCACCGTGGTCTCGTTGGCGGTCGCCGCTGGGCGGCCGATGGCCGGGGCCACGCTGCCCGGCAGGCGGGCGCGCTTCAGCTGCAACTGGGGGGGGGGGGGGGCGGGCGGGCGGCGGCGCCGCTGCTGGCTGCGCCAATCGGGGCGCGGCCGTCGCTGGCGAGGCCAGGCCGGCTGCTGCCGGGGCCCCCAGATCAGGCGCCGCTGGCGGAAGTCTCTAGGTGGACAGCGCCAAACGATACCCCATTCGGGGGCGCCCAGGCGCGGGGCGCCCAAGAAGGGGGATCGCAAACCATGGCCCGAGGCACGCGCGCAGCCCAAGAGGGGGCCAGGGAGGCGCACTGAAATCAGATGAGGGAGCCATGGAGTCCTGGGAGATATCACGCCCCCCGCCGTGATATCCGCCCGCAGTCATCGCCCCCCTCTTGGCTGGCCCAAACTCGGGTTCCAACGTTGGTCTGCTACTATAGAGGGGGTCATCAGGCAAACGTTGAAACGTAGACCCAGCCCATCTGCGCATGCGCGGTCTGGCGAAAGCGGGCGGCGCCAACGCGACGCAGAGGAGCGTCGTGGACTCGAGCGCTTGGCCTGGGCGCAGGCCGCGCACGACGACCCATGCAGCCCTGTTCTGCAGCCGTCATTTCTGTCCTACGGTGCTGCACGGGCACGAAGAACACCGCCCTGACCCGTGGCCGCCGCCGCTGCCTCCATCGCTGCACCCGGCGCGGTCGGCGCCGGGCCTGCTGCCGCTGCGGGGGCAGCCGGCGGGCCGGCGGGCTTCGCCCGCTCGCGGCCAGCGCTGCCTGGGACCTCTGGCGTCGGGGGCCCTGCATGCGGACCGCAGACCATGCCTTGCATGCGGGGGGGGGGCCACTTTGGAGCTGAGCACGTCGTCGCGAACTTTTGGGACTTTCGCGGGAACCTTTGCTCAGCGGGATACAATGAGCGGGTACCCTTCCCGAGCGCGTGATACGGTCGGGGACTCTCTCGATCAGCGCGTCGTCGCGACGGCCCCGACGACGCTCCTTGCCTTGCAGGCGGATCTCGCTTCGTTGAACTTCTGGTAGAGCGGTCGCAGCAGGCCCACCGCGCACTCGAGTACGGCCATATCGGCCCTGAGTTCGGCGTCGGACATGTGCGCCTTCACGGCCGCTTGCGCCAGTCTTCCTAGGATGACTAGTGAGCCTGGCTTCCGCTTTGCCTCGGCAGCTACGCTGCTCTTTGGCGCCGTCGGGCGGCTGCCAATCCCACCAGCCCTCTGGGCGTAGGTGGTCTAGAGCAGATCCTCTTCCACCCCTCCCTCTTCCCCCTTGGGGAGGGGTTTACCCCTCCCCCTACCCCCTCCCCTGGACCTGGACGGGGGGGGCCGCGGGTAGTTAGAGCGTCCAAGATGGCCCAAGACGGCTCCAAGAGCGCCTCAGAGAACCCAAGATGAGCTCCAAGATGGCTCAAGATAGCGCAAGATCGCTCACGATGGCTCCTAAGATGGTTCCAAGAAGCCCAAAGACGGCCCCAAGATAACTCCAAGTGGCCAAACAGCTCCCCAAGGAGGCCCCGAAGAGGCCAAAATCGTCCCAAAACCTAAGGAAAATCAATGATTTTTGCTTTCTCGCCTTTTCGCTTCCGATGGCCATCCGAGGCCTGGAGATGGCTCCAAGATGGCCCAAGAGGGCCCCAAGAGAGCCCCAAAAGAGCCCCAAGACGGCCCCAAGAGCGCCCAAGAGCACTCCAAGAGCGTTCCAAGAGGGGTCCAAGAGGCGATTTTAGGGGCTTCCGAGGGGGGACGCTAATTAAACCCCCCCTCTTGTTTGATCGACTCCCTCCAAGATGGCCCCAAAAGCGCCCCGAAGGCTCCCCAGAGCGCCTCAAGAGGGTCCCAAGAGGCGCCCAAGATGCCCCAAGGCGCCCAAAAAGCCCTCCAAGAGGCCCTCAAAAGACCCCCAAGAAGCTCCTTCCCCTCCTCCTCCTCCTCCTCCGATTCTTCCTCCTTCTCCGTCCTCCTCCTCCTCCTCCTCCTCCTCCTCTTCCTCCTCCTCCTCCTCCTCCGACGACGACGACGACGACGACTCCTCTTCCATCCTCCCCCTCTCGGGGTCTGTGACAGCTTCCCCCGCCCTTTGTTATTCTGCATGCTCCCCGACTTCCCTGATCACCTCAACTCCCCTGAGCATCGTTTCTGGATGGGCTGGTGGGGATACGCGAAGCGTCAACAATATTTTCAAAGCGGGTGCGCTTCTGCTGCTGCCGCCACCAGTGCATGATGGAGCCTGGATATGATCTGCTGCGCGTGGCGCTCTTGAACATGATGTTATGGCTTTGCCTTTGGAGCGGCTTCCCGCCTTCGGCAGGGCGATCGCCTTAGCCCTTAGCCATCTGCCTCGACTGACGGTGCGCCCGCGGATCTGAGACGAAGACCCCGTTCCGCAAGAGCAGCGGCAGGTTCACAGCGAGACACGCTTGCTGCAAACGCATAGCCAGAAAATACGGTCGAGGCTGTCACTTCGAACGCGCCGGGACTGTTGGGCGCTGCGATGTCCACCGAATAGGGCGAGCGCCGCTGAAAGCCGAAGTGCTAAACTGGCTGTTGTCCTGTCTCTGCGGGCTCGCCTGTGCCAGGCGGGATTTCGGCACCCAAACCGCGACGTGGCGCTGCCTGCGCCGTCATCGGCGCGGGCCGCAGGGGGGCCGCACATGAGCCCATGAACGAAGGGGCTTGCCCCCCAGGGCGGCTCTCAGCCAAATGCTTTCTGCTGCGCGCGCATTAGACAGCAGGCTTGTTGCATTCGAAGCCGCGTGTCCGCGGCCCATCGAGTGGGTCGAGGAAGCAAGCAGCCACCAACCATCCCCCATCTCGTTCCCCCACCTGCACGGCCCCTCCCTCTCCTTCTTCTCCTCCTCCTCCTCCTCCTCCTTCTCCTCCTCCTCCTCCTCCTCCTCCTGCTCCTGCTCCTTGTCCTCCTACTCCTCTTCCTCTTCCGCCTCCTCCTCCTCCACCTCCTCCTGCTGCTGCACCGCTGCTTAGCCTACCCACCACTACTCCTCCTCCTCCTCCTCCGCCACCTCCTCCTCCTCCTGCTCCACCGCTGGTTAGCCAACCTGTCACCTGCACTACCACCAGATGGCACATCATCTTCGTCGTTACTGGCACTCTGCCGAAACTGTTGGTTAAGGTGATGCAGCGCATGCCCACTTAGCCTGTGGTCCGTTGTTTGGTGCAGGGCGCCACTCCTGCACAGTCAGTCCTAGTGTGGTGTGAGTTGCTAGCAAGGGCGCGCCCTCATTAGCAACCGACTGCAACAGGCTGCGAGTTGGGGCTTACCCTGGCGACGGGGGTCCCACGTTGGCAGTCCCTCCTCGTTACAGGCACTGTTCAAAGTTGACCCGCTAGCAGACCTGGCAGTTTGGTCAGTGATCCCCCTCCTCCTCCTCCTCCTCCTCCTCCTCCTCCTCCTCCTCCTCCTCCTCCTCCTCCTCCTCCTCCCCAATCTGGCCCCCTCCTCCCCCTCCCTGCCTCTCGCGCTTCGGGCCTGGACGGCGACTGCGACTTCAGCCTCGGGGACTTCAGCTTGCTGTTCGGCGAGCGGCTGGACTTGGTCGGCGAGCGGCTTGACTTCAAGAGCGACGTCAACAGCCTCCCAAGAGGAGGAGGAGGAGGAGGAGGAGGAGGAGGAGGAGGAGGAGGAGGAGGAGGAGGAGTCGAGCGTGCGGAAGGAGGAGGAGGAGGATGAGGAGGAGGAGGAGGAGGAGGAGGAGGAGGAGGACGAGGACGAGGACGAGGAGGAGGAGGAGGAGGAGGAGGGGCAGGGGCAGGCTGAGGGGGGGGGGAGGGGCAACGACGAGACGTCGGCGGGGAGAACGGGAGAGGAGGGAGGGAGGACGGGCAGAACAAGGAGATGGAGGCGGAGGAGGAGAAAGAATAGGAGGGGGAATACACCGACCACGGGGAGGAGGATCAGCGGCAGCAGCGGCAGCAGCAGCAGCAGCGGCAGCAGCAGCAGCAGCAGCGGCATCAGCGGCAACAGCAGACACGACGTCAGCAGCCTCGAGGGTGACCCCCTGGGCGGCGAGCGGGTCGAGGCCCTCGAGGTCGGCGAGCGGGTGAGCGAGCTATTGTCGGTGGCAGCTTTTGGGCCATCGGCTGAGTCGGCGACGCCCTGGTCGACAAGCTTCCCACCGCTAAGCGCCTCGGCTCGTGCCTTCTCTCCCCCCTGCTCCTCCCCCCTCCTCATCGACGCTCCCCCTCCTCCTTGGCCTGCTCTTCCTCCTCCGCCTCTTATTCCTGCTCGTCCTCCTCCTCCTCCTCGCCATCGTCATCGTCATCACCATCATCATCAGCAGCATCATCACCATCATCATCATCATCATCATCATCATCATCATCATCATCATCATCATCATCAGCATCAGCATCAGCATCCGCATCCGCATCAGCATCAGCATCAACATCAGCATCAGTATCATCATCATCATCATCATCGTCATCATCATCATCATCATCATCATCATCATCATCATCATCATCGGCCGTTTCAGGCATTGACTTGTGCAGTTTCCGGGTGGCCTGCGGGACGGACCGAAGCCCAAGGGGGAGTTTTCTTTTGGAAAAAAACCAAAACCAAAACCGAGAGGATCCAGCACGCCAGGCACCCCTTTGATAAATCAAAAGGGGGCGGCGGATCCGAGTGGCATTCGGCCCATCCCGCCACCGTGCCTGGGTTGTGGGCCTGATGTCTCTTGTAGATGTGTTGGGGTGCTCCTGGAAGCGGTTTGGGCCCCTGGGGGGCCTCTTGAGGCCTCGTGGGTATCTTTTGGGCCTCTTGGAGGCCTCTTGGGCACGTTTTGGGCGCCTCGTGGGGCCTCTTGGGGCCTCTTGGCGGCCTCTCAGGGCCTCCTGGGAACTTCTCGGAGCACACTTATTGAATGTTCGGTTCGTGGTCCTCTGCTTGGGCCTTTCCTGGGGCCGTCTTGGGGCCCTCTTGGGCCGTCTTGAGCGCTTCTTGGGCCATCTTGGAGCTCTCTTGGGCCGTCTTGGGGCCCTCTTGGAAACGTCTTGGGCTGTCTTCGGGCGGTCTTGGAAGCTTCTTGAGCCGTCTTGGAGTATCGGGAAGCCGAAAATGCGAGAAGACCCAAACCCTTCAAAAACCGTAAGCAAATGTACAATTTGGGCCTCCTGGGGCTCTCTCGGGAAGCCGCCTCGTAGGCCGTCTTGGAACCATCTTCGGGTGCCTTGGAACATTCTTGGCCTCGGCAATGCGACTTTGGCATGATTTGCAAAGTTATATCTTCGGGGACGCGAATCTTGCATCGTTTAAACTAAGGTTCGTTGCGTTGGCGATGCACCAGTTGCGTAATTCACGAAGGTGTGTGGCTTCGGGGCCGCGAACATTGCGTAATTTACTAAGGTTTGTGCCTCGGGGACGGACACCGAATCTTACGTACTTTCACGTGTCCCACGCCGTCCTGGGAATTCAGGCAACGCGATCCGGGCGTGGTACATTGGGCGGTTTGGGGCTCGCCCCCCTCCCGCGGCCTTCAACAACTTATCATCGGAAGCAGAACGTAGGACTGTAACATTGGAGACTTGAAGTTGCAAATGTCGGCGGTGGACAAACCTCCCCTTAGTAAACCTCCCTTTAGTGAAAACGGCATGGGACCGAAATCGCCGGACCTGGACCCGCAAAAATGACGGCCGCGACGCTCTCTCGCGAACCGAAAATGGCCAATTCCTTAATCGACGTGTCAGGGTAGGAGGCCTGTCCACCTCCGAAAATGGCGCAGGGAGCGGCAACTTCGTCCTACAGCCTGGTGGCCCCACAGCGGGGCCAGCCGATGTTCCATGCGCAACCCTGCGGCAGACACTGGGTGCAGTGCGCGCAGTTCCCTTCGAGTTCCCTGCGTTGCCTCGTGAGGAGAGGCCCCGGGTCTGGAGTTAAGTCGGGCGAGTCCCCCTATAGGGGGATTTTCGACGAAAAATAAAACATACGCAAAACATACTCCAGAATGGTCAAAAATACTATAACGAAAACAGTCTCCAAACTATGTTTTGACTATTTTTGAATATTCCTCATGTAGAGGGACAGGCCCGACTTAAGTCTGGAGTTCCCGGCTGTTTTGGGCGCTGTCGGGTGCTCTCGGGGCGATGGCCTGAGGTGGTATCAGGGCCCATCTTGGGGCTCTCCTGGGAGGTTTCGTGGGCCGTCGTGGGTGTCGATATGATTCAGAACAGTGGTCTGGCGTTCCCCATTCACCCTCTGCACGACAGGGAAAACCCACGATGATCCATGAGGCCCTGAAGATCGCCCCAAGATGGGATCCAAGCCCCCGACACGGACGGAGGAAGAGGAGGAGGAGGAGGAGGAGGAGGAGGAGGAGGAGGAGGAGGAGGAGTAGGAGGAGGAGGAGGAGGAGGAGGACCAGAAAAGGGGCCCAGGAGGGCAAACACGAAGTGGCATTTGAACCCCTAGATCCCAAGATGGCCTCCGAGACCGCCGGCAGGCCCACAGGAGACCCAGGAAGGCCCCAAGAGGCCCCCAAGAGGCCCCCAAAGGCGCCTCCAAGAAATCCCCCAGAGGCCTGCCTGGAGACCCACAGAGGTACAGAAGAGGCCTCTGATCCACAGCCCAGACGCAGCGAAGGGTTGAGCCGAAGCCCTCGAGATGCAACAATGGCGTTTCTAGCAATGTCCAGGCATGGCGCGGCCAGGAGGTCCCGATTCCAGGTGGGCAGGGAATCCAAACTCGGGGGTCCAGGACATTTCGATATTCTGACATTCGAGACTGCCCAACCACAGGAACCCAAGCCAGCCCCAAAACGGCCCACATGCGCTCAACGAAACTCCCCAAGAAGTGAAGACGACAGGTGTCAAATATGACAGCAATTCCGCCGCCATTCGCCGAGGCTCCGCTGCAGGTGAGGGGGCCGAAAAAGCCTTCTCGCATCCCCCCCAAGCGTGCGACGGTCTCTCGCACGTAGCCCCCGAAAAAGTTTAACCACTTTACTCGTCGACCTCAACCTGCTGTAGCATCTGCGCACATGCAGCACGTGAAAAGAGGCGGGTGAAACGAGTTCGAGCAACTGCAGTTAGTGCCGAGACAGAATGCGATGATGGTGCGCTGCCCTGCTGCATCGCGTGCCTCGTCGCTCAGTCCACGAGCCAGACCGAGACGCGCGCCCAGAGTGGGACGTGACTGGGCAGGAGGGGCACCAGACGTCCGGTACGACACCTCCACACTCTTTTGATTCGCGGGTCGAGAGCGCACCTCTTCCGGTCGAAGCTAAGCGGGCCGCGCGAAGCTTGAATTAGCCATAGAGGAGGAGGAAAGGGGGAGGGCGCAGCCTCAGAGCGAGGCCGAGAGGAGGCAAAGCCTCGGGATCAGGCGGTGCCGAAGTCGAACGGCACCTCCACGCCAGGGGGCAACTCGTGCAGCCAGTGCTCCCGAGAGTCGGCGGCCGAGGGGTCAGCACGGCCGCATTGGCACGGGCACGCCTGCTGAGACATCCTCCGCTCCTAGGGAGCCCACAAAGGACGTACGCGCCCAGCTATGTACATGACCACGGCCCCTCGATTCGCGAGACCGGCCGCGTTATACGAACATTTGTGAAATGCGTGCTCTCGAAAACAGCGGGGATTCATGTACATGTACGTCCTTCTTTCGCTCCTGAGCTCCGCCGCCCATCCCCCCCCCCCCGCACGATGCAGGCACTCCTCGGGGAGGGGGCGCACCAGAGCGCGGGCCTCGGGGAGCGGCCGGCTGCTCTCGCGCACGGGCCCGAGGAGAGGGAGAGAGGCCGGTCCAGCCGCCCAGCGAGGCAAGCGATTGACGACTGTGGCCTCCGGCTCGCCCAGACTTCAGGCTGCAGCCGCCGAAATCGAATCGGATCGAGCCGAATCTGAAGGGGCCTTGAGACACACAAACAAATACACACAAACAAAAGGATCCCCCACATTTTCCCGTATTTCCTGGATTTTTGTCTTCCCCCATCACTTCCCATCTTTTCCCATATTTTCTTGGGAATCGAGGATTAATGGTGTCTGTGTGTTTTTTCCCCTCCTGAGAATCGGAGGAGGCGAGATGAGCCCCGCGGCGCAGGCACCGCAAGCGCCGGGGGGCCCCCGCACGGGGCGCGGGGCGCTCCTCTGCCGCGGGAGCCGCCGCCTGCCGCGCCTCCTCCTTCGCTGTGGCCTGGAACAGTGGCCTGGCTTCTCCTCCTCCTCCTCCTCCTCGTCCTCCTCGTCCTCCTCGTCCTCCTCCTCCTCCTCCTCCTCCTCCTCCTCCTCCTCTCCTCCTCCTCTTACTTCCCCCTTCTCCTCCTCCTCCTCCTACTTCCCCCTTCCCTCCTCCTCCCCCTCCTCCTCCTCCTCCTCCTCCCTCCGCCTCCTCCTCCTCAGTGGCTGAACAGTTTCCCCCTCCTCCTCCTCCTCCTCCTCCTCCTCCTCCTCCCTTCCTCCTCCACCTCCTCCTCCTCCTCCTCCTCCTCCTCCTCCCCTGGCCTGGCGAGAAGGCAGAGGCACGTCGGCCTTGGCTTT